CACTTAGTTAAGAGGTTTTATTCCCTCCCTAACTTCAGGGGAAAATCCCTACCTGGGGAAACAACCTTTCTCGGGAGAGGCGACCCCGGCCAAAACACATAGTTCCAAGAAGGTGAGCAAACATACCAAGAACAGTATGCCATATATGCCAGGCCCCCCGAAACAGCAAGGATGGACCGGCTCCCGGCACATCCCTGTGGCTGCCCGTGGCGCTCCCGTCCTCTCGTGGCTGAGTGGTGCTCCATTGTGCACATAGACCAGCCTTCCTCTCCGTCCTATCGCGGGACACGTGGCTGTTTCCGTGTCTTGGCCGCCATGAATAACGCTGCTGTGAACACAGGGGGGCCTAGATCTTCGCATATAAATGGTTTTGGGAATAAACCCAGGAGAGGGCCTGCCGGGTCGTATGATAGCTCTGTTCTTAGTTTTCTGAGGCACCAACGGACCAGACCGCCTTCCACGGTGACTGTGCCGGCCACCTTCCCAGCAGCAGTGATGGGCCTCTCCCACCCTCCCTGCGGGGCCGTGGCTGGTCCCTCCTTGCGGGGCCGTGGCTGGTCCCTCCCTGCGGGGCCGTGGCTGGTCCCTCCCTGTGGGCCTGTGGCTGATCCCTCCTTGTGGGTTGGTGGCTGGTCCCTCCCTGTGGGGCTGTGGCTGGTCTGGACCAGCGCGGACAGGGCTGCCCGGAGAAGGCTCGGTGGGCTCTGTTTGGCTAATGATGTGCAGAAAGATGTCGGGGGCTGCTCTGCAGACAGGGTTCACGAGCGTGCTCTTGACCTTGCTCTCGGGAACACGGTGAAACGGAGCCCCTGTGGTCCCCAGTCCGCAGACCAGGAAGTGGAAGGGTAGGGCGAGGAGGTGACTGGCCCGGCGGCTGGATCCGCCGGGAGGAAGCTGACCTTGTGCTCAGGGCCGGAGCCCGGATGCTGAGCCCATCGCCCTGCCCTTGTGAGACGCCGCTCCCTCCTCCTCGGGGAAGAGGGAGAGGCAGGAGGCGGCGGATGCGGGTGGGCAGCAGACCCCGAGCCACAGACCAGATCCACACCAAGCAGATGCCGGTGGGCACCACCCGTGGAAGGCCCTCCTCTCTGCGTGCCGCCCACAGTGTCCGCCTTCCCCACCAGCTGGCGCTCACAGCTCCTCTCCCCGCAGCCCTGTCTGCCCGACCTGCAGAGGAACAGGATGGTGTTGTGGCTGCAGGAGAAGGAGCTGGTAGCAGCCCGCTCACAGGCCACCCCTTTACATGGAATTAAACTCATAAAATGCATGAAGGCTCCATCAACTATAAAAACCAAACAATGACTTCTTTTCCCCTTCGAGAAGGCAAGGGACCTGAAGGTGCTCACAAAGGGGCACGCACACGCACACGCACACACACGCACACACCTTCCCACAGCCCACTGCACACTCACCTACAGACACATGCCCGCCCCTGCACCCACCCCAACCACACACGTCCACATGCTACACACA